TTTTTTTTTTCTTTTCTTTTTGACGATAAACCAGGTCAAATAAATATGATGAAACCCATTTGAAAAATCCAGGGTTTTTTTTTTTTCAGTGTCTGGCCTTTCCACCTTGTTGCGATATACTGGCTTCCTGTTATTGAAACGGGTGGCCAAATTAATTTTTATTCAAAATTTTCGGCGTCAGTTCCTGTGTGGGAAAAGAACAAAAAATTAGACCACTTTTTCGCAGCCAAAATCCTTTTTTTTTTCCTCCATTCTTTTCTCTATATTTGAGCCTAGATGCAAGCCTGTCCGTTCTGGAAAATATTCAATTTATATGATAAGGCCTCTTGATTTTAATATATTCGTTTTCAACTTTTATTCAGCCTTATATTGATTAGAACATTAATTCCAATAACAATTTGAAGCCAATATTACACCCCCGTCTCATCCATTTATTGAAATAACTTCAACAAATCTTCTGGATTCTCATAAGCTTCGCTCCTTCACTTTTCAGTAATTGAGCACAGCAACTTTACACATATGTAAGTAAAAAAGAATAGCATTGCACTAAATTTTTAATTGCCTTCATCAAATTGGATTTCAAGTTTTCATTTACACTACTTGTTTTGCAACGTAACGAGAATTTGTTTGGGGCATTAAAAAAGACCGTGGAATATATACCAACCATTTTCCTTTTCCAATCTCTACCAAAAGATATCGAAAATTAATCATGTCATTTCGAATTCCTTGATCAACAAAAGACATTTTCATCTTACCTCATGTTAAGAGAAAGTATTTCAATATACGTTTTTTTGGCGTAATGAACTTAAGTGCGTCGATTGCGCGAAAGCACAAAGCGTTAAGGCAAAGAGCTTTCTTGAGAGTAAAAACGAAACGGCTTGTAAACCTAGATGGTAGCCCAAAAATACATCTGACCGATGTTTGCCAAGGGTTAATTAGGCTGTAGTAGTTATACAGGCACTAAGGTGTTCAACTGGGATTTGACGTGTTATATTCCAGGATTTTAGACCAAAAAATCAATTTGCATATGAAAGGTATACATATGTACGCAAGCTTGACGGTTGTTTGTTTAGTCCATATCATTTGATTGAAATAACAGACTGCACGTCCAATATCAGAATATTAAAAATACCTAGAACTGAAATGATCATGAAATGAAGTGATCGCATTTTTCAAGGTTATTTTTTCAGCTTTGTTGTTTTGATTAAGCTACGTGAGGTGGTTGTTTTTTGTTGTTGTTTTTTCTTTTAGCTAGATTTATTTGCCAGGTTTTTGGACTTTTTTGTGATAGGAAAGGCCTTTAAAATGACTCGTCATTGAGAGAATATTTAGTTGGAACTCGCGGGGAGGTGGACCTGCTGACCCTATTATTAACCGTCTATTAACTGTCTATTAATAAAAACAAGAAAAGAAAAGAAGGAATACTTGATGTCGATAATGAGAGAGAAAGAAATAAAGAAAGAAAAGGTTGGATAAAGAACGAACAAAGGGAAGGAAGCAAGAAAATAAAAGATAAAGAATGAACGAGCGAAAGAAGGGACAAAGAAGAAAGAATGAAAGAAAAGAAAGAAAGAAAGAAACATGCAAGACGCCATATCTAAAAATGAAACAAACTTCAAAGCACAAATTTCTCAGTTACATGAGTGTAAATTAGGAATAATGATATCAATAATGAGTGGAATAAAGAAAGAAATGTTGGAGAAAGAAAGAACCGAGGGTAGGAAACAAGAAAATAAAAGATAGAATGAACGGGCGAAAAAAAGAAAGAAAAAAAAAGCATACAACGACACCATATCTCAAAATGCTTTGAAACCCTATACCATTAAAGCCAAGATTTCTCCGTCATGAGTATAAATTAGGACTATTTAAAAGGTGTTCTGTCAGATCGTCTGTTCTAATTTCATAAAAGAACCGACGGGTAGCACAATATTGTGTGTTATTAGCTGCTTGCCTTGAAATGTCTTCTCCTAGCAACCTCCCAGCCCTTTTAAATGAAGCATATAGCATACCACATTCATGCGACATTCATGAATTCGGTAATGAATGATAAGAAATAATTATAAAAACGTTATTCTTGTCGGTGTCGTTGATGATTGTAGTAATTGTTGCAGTGAGTGTTATATATCAGAAGGAACACAAATGTTTTTTAGCCTTATTTTTGTGCCTTATGTTTTGATTCAAATAAGATATGGTCAGCTATGAAGTTTTGTTTTTGATGTCCCCTGGGGGAAGAAAACAAATATCCCTAACAAGAGAAGGCACGGCCATACGTTACTGTCATGGAAACAGGCCTAACTTTCAAATATAACAATATATAACAAATACTAAAGAATTGATTAGAATGACCTATGGCTTCAAGGGGATTTGGTATCCAGGCGCGCAATGCATTGTTTGTGAAAGCGAAAATTTCTATTTCTATTGTCAAAACGAAATATTTTCCACCAACAACGACGAAATGTGCTATTTCTAAAAGATATTTGGCTTATCTTTTCACAGATTAGTTTTATTTTCTTTTTTGAGTAAAAATTGCTGATTTATTGAGTCGAGCGGGCTGAGAGGAACGAGAAGAACCTCTCGTTACTTATATGAAATCAGACGCGGGGATCGGACTAATTCATATGCCATCGTTTCAGACAAGCCCTATTTATATTATACATCGATACTGCTGCTTAGAGCTCAATGTTTTCCAGTTTAAAACCCTTTTGGGTTGCATCAATGTTAATATTTCTTTCAAAACGTCTTTGGAAAACAACCGAAATAATCACTCAAGGCTGATATTCGATGACACGTTGCATGAAATAGGAAAACATTCACCGCCAATGTAAAGGACTTTAAATAGATAAAAGTGTGGTTTATTTCCTGTTTTTAGTCGTGTCCATCGAATCGGTGATTTCTCGTGTGTGGCTGAATTTTTATAGTGAGTTTATTCTTTGCGATAACATTATACTAGATATGTTTTTATTTACGTATGGACAGTATTATAACATGTTTGGGGTGAACTCTTAATTTTGAGGTGCTTTATCCAGCGCTAACTTTACTAGTTAAACATCTTTGCGCTATTTTTTTTTTCACTTCTGCAGCTCGTGCGCACAATTTCGCAAAGTACTGCTAGGATTTTCATGTGTGTCGTTACCTAGAGACCTCCATTGCATGATAAATGCTTACACTGCACAGTTTTCTCGCGCAAACAGAAGCCAGGCACTAGTTGGTAGCATGCTGTTTACATTCCAAATGTATTCCTTTTTTTTCGCGCATTTTTCAATAGGAATTGTGGCACTGTTTTACTTCAGGTTCTTTGGTAGGTTACTGTACACTCCAACTTTCTTCCCTTCGCTCGCACCTTTCTGCATCATTGTAGTGGGCAAAGCCAACATCATGATTCCCATCAAGCAGCACAGGGATCCCAATACTTTGCCTGCTACTGTAACAGGAACCATGTCTCCATAGCTAAATGTGGCACAAAGAAAACTGTCAGTGACGTGCATTGAAATAAGTGTCAACAAAAAAAGCTATTTGTAGATATATCACGTGATAGACAAGGCATGCCCCCAATTTCAATCACTTTTCTTGTTAATACAGCCGGTGTCATTGATCATAATTGACAAATGTCACACTACGGACAACCCCATAGATGTCCCACAACGGCATGCCGTTCATTATCGTTAAGATTCCTGGTTACTTTTGCGCAACTATAGCGTGACACAAAAAGCATTGTTCTCATGATAAATCTTTGGTTTGCCTCAGGAAGCCCAGCCAAATAAGATTACTATTTCCGGCTTTGTTTAAACTGAAACTGAAGATATTTTCTCCCAAATTTATATATACTGGATAATGCAAGGCAATTGCCTAAAAGTATACACATTTATTCAGGGTATAGTATTTTCACCCTCGGCATCTTTCTTCCCAAATTAACGAATTTTGTGGAAGCATCTTCATGACTGCCGATGGGCACCCTTGCAAGCAGAATCTATCTGTACTTACCCTAAAGTCATCATAGTTACGACTGTGTACCACATCGTTTCAGGAATACTCGTGAAGTTTCCTCTTCCTTCATCGTACTCGGTATAAAACATCATTGTAGAAAACATTAAATTTGCCAGAAAGAACGCAAAAAATAAAAACCCCAGGTCCACAATCGCTCTCTTTAGCATGTGTCCAACAACGCGCATGTGCCGAAATAGTCTCGATAACTTGAGCATGCGCATAATCCTCAGGATCCTGAAAACACTGAAAGGGCTTCTTAGACTTACAATCTTTTCTTTATCGGACGAGAGATTGGCGATCGCCAAATCAATATAGAATGGGATGAATGCCATTAAGTCTATTATACTAAGTTTACTAAAAACAAAGGCCATTCTTTTCTGAGCAGCGTAAAAGCGAATGAAATACTCCAACGTAAAGATACCAACACAAAATGCCTCCAACAGTGAAAATATCTCTGGGTATTTGTCCAAGCATTGTTGACCATCCCCACATGGAGTTGTCTCAACGACTGTAAACACTGTGCTCAAACATATTAATAGCCCAATGAATGACTGGATTGCGATGCCGAGATTGGAAGTTTCAGTCCCCTCTAGGAGATACCATAAGTATTCTCTTCTAGAACGCCATACTGGTTTGTTTCCAGCACAAGTTCTTTTTTTCTTTCTAATGCTTATTTTAGTAGTATCTTCCCAACAGCAAGGCTCAAGTTCTGTCGTACAAATACCGTAAAAATTAAGCTCATCTTTGAACGACTCGTTGCAGTCTTCTGAAGACATATGAAGTTTTCCAATGCGGTAGAAATTCAAGATATAACGAAACATGTGAGGATCTCTGTCTAGGAAGTATTCTCTGTGCTTCCTATCAAAAAACACTGATAGCATCTCGCTCCCTAAGAGAGTCGATGGATGTTTTTTAAGCGTACTTTCCCATGTCACAAACCTCCGACCACTGACATTCAGAGTTATAAGCTTGTCGTCTTTGTTTTTTTCATTCCTTCTGAGTCGACGTTTATATTGTAGTGTCATGGATTTGAAGTCTAGTCTTTGAACCTTGGCGAAAAATATTTACTTACACCCACCAATTGCAGTAAAATATGAGATTTTCCCTTGAAATCTGAATTCGTTTGCTCGTTTTCATTACCGAAATTAAAGTTTAGGCTAAAGTTTCGTCGACAGGTGCAATCCACACTGGTTTTTCTTTTCTTTTTTCTTCGTTTTCTTCCTTTTTGTAGACACCAGTGCTTCAAATTGTGCAACCAAAAACTAAATTCCTCAAAACCTGTCCTCGTTTTCTTTTCTCATTTGAAGATCTAATCACTGACCAAAAGTGGAAAGAGTTTAAAAGTCAAAACACGTGATTTAGTATTATAATTGATTGAAATTGTTTTCGTATATAGCAGACGCGCGCATTTATGTTTTTAAATAGATCCACCAAGCTGCGTAGTCCTTTCCAGAGTCCAAAGCATAGTTAAAAGTAGTCAACCAAAACAATAATTACAATTCACTAACGTGGCAACACTCAAATCTTGGGTCAGTCATTTAAACTCTTTATATCCAGTGAGTTTCTTGTTGTCTTTATGACCTGTGGAGAACACCAGAGATAAGATAAAAGTTTTAGGAATACGAGAAGAAGTTAGTAATGATACCAAAGGGCGACAGAGTAATGATTGGACTGCTCCCTCCAAAATTAATGGCTTTTTGAAAAAAAATTGAAACTTTTGCTCTTCGCTGTTGACCTTAATCAGTAAAAGCTATTACGAAAGGTAGACTTAATATACTCAAGCTTGCATTGCGTGGAAGCTGAATTGAAAACCTCTCTAAGATGCTTGATCTGGATTTGCCTTGTCGCATGTACAATTATTGAAATTTATTCTTTGATTTCTGATGAGTTCGGTATCAAATGAACGCCCACGCGATCGGAAGCAATCAAAGTGCTGAATTTCTAATAGGCATGCATAAAATGGCATGAAAACTGAAAAGTATTAGTTTATAATTCCTGAAAAAAAATCTAAAAATAAGGCAAGGATATCGAAAAAAATTGTATGACGGAGCTATTTCGAGGTACATTGGTTGTTTAAAAGGAGGGGTGGAAGGGATATGAACAGAAAGAAAAACTATTTCATTAAAAAACCATGTGTCATTTAACGCAGCCAAGCTAGAAGTACATACATAAGTCATATTCATAATGATTCAGTTATCAGTAACTACTAGATAATATGTCTTTACCTAAAACAATTCTAGCTTACTTTGATCAAGACAATGATTTAGCAATGTAATATGGTATATGGAAAGGCTTCAGTGTCCGCAGCCATATTGCATCCCGAGCTGGGTGAAGAGATGTAAATTTAGATCTGTTTTTCCAAGATTAACAAATTGACATCAGATTTTTATGTGTCTGTCCTCTTATTGACGATTAATTGCGTCATAAAATTGTCAAAGTAGTGTGGATCCACGAGGCGTAGCCTCTCAATGATAAAAACTTCTCATTTTTACTGTTCAAAACAACTAACGGAAAGAGCGCGCTCTCGTTGACATCAGCTTTATATGTCTGTCCTCTTATTGATGATAAAAAATAACCAATCAACGCGCGAGAACTTTCTAAGTTATTGTAAAATGGTTGCTTGATGGTACATCAGACCCTTACTATTACAATGATGTGGGGATCAATAATAAAATAATCTGGAATATACAATGAGAAAAAAAAAATATAACCACTCATTGGTCAAAGCTCACTTCATGATTGTAAGAGTATTTCATATAAATCCCCAGATAACTGTTTAATGATTAATGGTGGTCAGAAGTATTGTTTGCCTAACAAATATGGCTTCACTATCTTATCAGTAATAATCATACAAATATATGCTCCAAAGGCCATCATATCAATTAGCGTGGACCCACATGTCGTATGATGAGCTGGAATTGAAGGTTTTGTCGTCAGACCTGTTTAAAATACGCCTTGCCATCACTCGTACAAATTTTGATTATGTCACTACCGATGATTAATGGTAGTGATAAATATTCCTAGAGTATAATCTCTATTAAGCGAACAGCCTTTGTTTAGTTGTCGTACAGTTCTCGTACAAGTCTCAAAGAGGTTTTTTGCACTAATTATTACTATAGTTATACGCCCTATTAAGCGGTTAACCTCGCTGAGTACGCGAACGTTCATAGGCAGTCACCTCAATCTTCAACCTCTATTAAACGCCTAGCCTCTCATGATTTAGCGACCAGTTGTAAAATTATCATCGTCATCGTTAGCTTTTTAACTTAGGTTCGGGATTCCAATCCGGCGCAACCGTTGACAAAAAGCACTACCTCCCGGGCGGGTCCGTTTAAACTCCAGTCCGTTACAGATCACGAGATAGGAACAAAATGTCCGGTAAAACGTAATATATCGCTCTAACAAGCACTATAAATATAAGTAGCTTCACACCAGGAGCTATCTGATATTAATGATCTCAAGACTAATTCTTGTACATGTGCGTTTCACCTTGAGTACTGATGACTTTGCCACCCGAATTGCTATCCAGATAAGATATTTCTCATTACAAGCACTTATCTACCGGACGCCCATCTCTTCRCATCAGTAGTAATATCACGCTGAAGTCTGAAGAATTTATGAGATGACATGTGAAGATATAATGAGGGTTGTGGGGCTGTAGTAACGAACCCTTGGTATAGTACAATTTATAATAAGGGAGATGAAGTATATTCGTCTCTCTCTTTCTTGTTATGTGTTCTTCACTGGAACAGTCTTCGCATGAGTAGGAAACGAGATATGTCTGCAAACTTGTAGCTGTACGACAGAGCAAAAAAACGACAAGGCTGCTACTTTCGCAATTTTTTTCTTTATCTCTCATTCATGCTAAAAAACGTTTAGTGTTTCATTCGTGTCTCTCGTGCTTTAAACTTTTCACATTCTGCTAACCTCGAGCAATGCAGTCTACTTCGAGGTATTAGCGAAAATGTTAGTTTTTGTGCTGATTAAAATATCATCTCTTCCAACGTTCAGGGCGTTATATCTCAAATACGCATTCCTTAAATTTCCCCAAATTTTGGTATTTTGTTAATCAGCCCCAAAAGAGCCTGTTTATGAAATATAAAGCTCATTAACGCATAAACGTCGAAAGTAGAACCCGTTTTTCTGCCCTGTCTATCGTGCATCTTATCTGATTTACTTGAAAAATAATTCACTTTCCCAGGGTACAAAAACCGTATGTTTCCCACTCATATGAAAACTACTCTATCTTAAAGTACAACAATCGAAACCATATATCATTTATCAATCTTAATTTCTCGGTCCCAATGTCCAGTTTTAAAATTAGGTAATAATATTCCTAAAGGCCATCATGTCTTGGATATTGGTGTTTAAATAAAAGTAGAATTTTTTAGTACTATTGATTCAAAATAGAACGCAAATTAAAAGGATCATTATAGAAAGCCATTATCAAAATTAACCATCCCAGTTGCTGTGGTAACTAAAAGATCCGACGTTGTCCACGCCATTTTAATTTTGATATTTATGTAAGTGGCCCATTTTGCGGGTAGAATATTTTTTAAAGGAATGCTTTATTTTTGACAGTATGAATGTTATTTATGAATGTGGATGCAAGATGAGAAAATATTTCTAGTTCCGTGATATCAGTGATATATATCTACTATGTGTGATTAATGTTATAGGCTAAAACCGATACTGAGTCAATACTTTCTCTAAAATATTCCAGTCGTTAGTTATACGGCTTATTTGTGGCACCAATTAATTAGTAAGTTCTGCAACCATATCTGTTAATTTAACCATTATCAAAACTTATCCCGGCTAGTCCTTCCGCTCTTTCAATGTTCGTCAGTACGTGTCACACACTTCAACATAAGCAGAAGCAGAAGAAAATGGAAAAGTTTCCATTCCTTACGCTTATGCTTATGGTTTGTGCAATCCCGCGGTTCACACTTGTGTTTCTTATGCTTCTGTTAAAGTGTGAACCAGCTCAAGGTAGTGATTCGAGAGTACTATATCATGAGACAAACTGAAATTCTCTTAAAATTAAATAATTTAGATTTATTCTAATCAATCTTCAATTACGTTGCTATTAACAAAACATATTTCAAGCTGCTTTTTACCTTGATGTAGTATCTTGGACTTCCAGTAAGGGCTTGGCATATGTAAAGATTAATGGCAGCAAATAATTTGTTCTACTAGTCTCAAGGCGAAGGTAAATTATCCTATCCTGACAGGAATAAACACGCTTCTATTCCTATTAAGTGGTCAGAAATTTTGTCTGCCCGGCTGAATTGCTAGAATAATGAATAATAATGTTCTGTGTCATCCAATTACGATTGATGGTCAGTGGAGAAAGAAGTATAGGCCAATTTTAGCCAAAACGTAATGTTCTTGCTCAGAACTCGTAATAGCGTAATCAATTCCTGTCTGTCCCGATGCTTTGTATAGTAGCCAAGTGGCAGATTAGTTAACGCGGAATGCGCATGGTTGTTGGGCGTATATCAGACCACTTGCCATTTCCTAGACTATCATTTCGTTGTTTGTGGTAAGAAAGAAAGAACGAGAACGAACGAAAAAAAAAAATGAAACCTAGATGCTGGTATTTCACATATCTATCTTCTAATTCACTGAAACAAAATGTCAATTACTTGTAAACTTCATTTCTTATATCGCAATTTGTGGGTAAGCTTTCATCTATGTTGATTCTTTCCATTACAACTTTAATGTTTTGCACAAACCACACAACTTCGATAAGCAAAAATAATTATAATAAAACTTGTTTGTAAATAAAAATATACAAATTTTTTAATCAAAACAGAAAACACAGCGTAATGTCAAAAGAACCAAACTAGTGATACATTAAACGCCACCTGTCACTCAATATTTGTGAAAACTCAAAAGAGATTATGACTGACGCTTCTTCGCCATAAATTATTCGCCATCTTTATGAAGTTTATGTAGAATTTTTTTATTAACTTTAGCTTGTACCTTGTTTAAAAGCGTACGATATTGACTTATTTGACAACATCACTCAAGTTAACTGACAATTTTGCATTAAAGAATAGCAGAAGACCATGCAAAACCTCTGAGACACTCGAAGTATATTTTCAATCGTATGTTTTCATCACTGTCCGACTGACAAGAGAAATATAGCTTCGTAAATTTTCAAAAATCTGTAGTAATTCTTTACTATCATTATTCCTTCAAGGTTTCCTAATTTTGAATTTGAGTAATTTTCGATACTACGTTGGTCTTCTAGTAAAGCCTTAGAAGATAAAATGAGAAATGATAACAAGTTTATTATTTATGATCTAAGAAGTTATTGCCATATTCTCCATATTTCAATAGTTACGATCTTTGTTTTTCTTAAAAAGTATTATACATTTTCAAAAAATTTTTCATCGACTATTATTCGCATTTTAATAAAAATATTCTTATTTAGTTTATACACAAAACTTTTGGAAATTCGATGATCAGTTCATGTATTAATAATAACCATCTGGATAATGATCTAAAGTGTATGTTTATTGTATTCTACTAGCTAGTGTATTTTAATTCAATTTTTTTCAATTTTTCTTATGTGCAGAACAASCTAGCTTCTGAGTTTAAAATCTTATCTAGAAGAAAATCGATCACAAGATAGAAAAATAGATACATTGACAATTACCACCCATGACTATATGTTAAGCAAGGACCTCAAGGTCCTTTTATTTCCAGTGTGTTTATATATCAAGTGGGCTCTCTATGCTTACCAAAATCGGAACATATATTAGTTTTTGCGATCAAATTTCCAAATCTTCTAGTCATACATTGAAATAGATTATTACACTTATTCAGAGCTATTATAGAGCTTTTTAGATAAGAAATCTATGAACGACAAGTTTACAATATCACGAAAGGTTGTAATAAATATAAAACTGATGAAAAATATATGAGGCCACGGACTGAGTTTTAAAGACAGCTTTTGTATCTACATGCAGTCGTTATACATGAAGCGGCTTGATGCTTGTTACCCTGCGAGCAGAGGTTTTTTTTATGACCCTCCTTGGAGCTGGCTGCCGACAGCCAGCTCCAAGGAGGGTCAGAAAAAAACCTCTGCTCGCAGGGTAGATGCTTGTTTATGTGTTTTTTGTTTGTTTGTTTGTTTGTTGTTGTTTTTTATTTCAAAAGTTATAATCTTCTTACGATACATACCTTCCTGATCACCGCTGAAATCCGGCACTGCACTTTGGATACTGTTCTACGCCGAATGAAGAGTAAACAAGGAAGTTTGACAAATTCATTTGCATTTATAATGACAGTAGTCGGTTTAACTTAGCTTGCTTTGCGTCAAACTGTATGTTATTGAATTTATTCTTTTATCAGCAAAATCAATCGTTCCCCGACTGCGCTGGTGATTCAACAGCCTCCTTATTCAAGGCGATGAATTAATCGAAGAGCGACGCCAAGGTCGCAATTTTTTATTCTTTTGCCATTCATGCCTTTTATGATAACTTAATTATAATTGTGCTGGCACAGATGTTAAACGTATTTTTCATATTCATATCAGTCCTAGCGTAATCTTTATTTGAAAGTGAGAAACTGAAGAAAAGCCGACACCAAGAGCTTAGTTTCTTTTTTAATGAAAATCGTTAATGAGCTAAATTTTAGAAACATTGGTTAACGTAACGCATACAGTAGAAATAATAACTTGTAAACATTCAGGAAAAGCTAATAAGATCGAACAAACCGAAGCTGAAATAATTAAAAATAACAAACTAGCAAGCCTATGCGGCTTAGCCAAGATTAAAAAATTAGTTTTCAGTCAGTCTTATCTTTATCGTTATCTTTTTTAAATTCGAGTGATTAAAACAGTGACTTTCTTAGGTGTTTTGAACGTAGTTTTCGAATACTGTGACTTGCAAAAGCTTAGGCTCCGGATTTAAAAAGTAGTTTTTGGTGCACATTCAATAACTGAAGACGCTGACAAAAACAGGTGGATTCTGGGATTTTGAAACTAAAACAGAGGAAAGGATAGGGATTGGAGGCAAAAAAGTAAAGACGACGAAGAACAAAAACAAAAGCAAAGTAACTAAAAAAAAAAAAAAAAAAACAGTAGAAAGGAATCGGAAAAAAAAAAGATAAATGCGAGGTCAAGCTTTTTAATTCAAATAAAACAAAATGATCACTTACAGTTTTAAAAAACAAACTGATAATAACGCAAAATATTATAGAAAAAAATGAGGGACAACAATCATAGCTTCCAGCTGTCCCCATTTAATTTTATACCAAATTGTGTAAAAAAGCAAAACAACAACAGCAAAAAACATGAATCTCCCTTGGCTTCGTCCTCCACTTCGCCCAATGCGATATAAACATTTGGGAGCCCTGTGCTTTTCGTTACCAGTACCAGTCTACTGGACGCTTAACAAGCGCGGTAAATTTTGCATTGGGATGAACTTCGAGCGCTGTTGGTGTTTTCTATCTACAGTTTTCTCAATGACTTTATTTCCGATAATGAAAAAAGAGGTGAGATACCTTATCTGCAGTGTTAAAGGTCACTAGAGGATAGCATTAAAGGTTTTAGTTCACAGTTTTTGTGAGTTTAAAGAATGTTCAAACTTAGAAATTTTCGCGGTGGCTTTGAGTGAACGCTACCACATTTGAATGCTCTCTTTAAGTGCTTGCCAATACTTATGGAGAGTGTTTGCTAAGTTTTATTTGATGCTTAGACAGTGTATTAAGTCAATTAACAATTAATTTATTATTCACAAAAGGGAATGGTGGTTTTCCGAAGAAGTGCATCATGTTTAGAGAGAAGGCTCGTGTACAGAGCATTCTAAGGTAGTGGGCTTCCTGTGGAATGTGAAGGTATGAATATTGTATTATCTATAGTAAAAATCCTTTATTTCCTAGTCTTTATTCAATGAAAAATATATAGATATAGATATTTCATATTATATGACAGCTTACTATTTTTCTCCTAAATATAGACCCCTTGCATGTGATGTCAAAGCAGCTTGATCTGGGGGACAAAACAAAAGAATTCCAATGTCCTGAGAATTGGAACCCTTTTTTTGTCTCCCAGATTGAGCTGCATTCCAAATTGCTGCAAGGGGTCTGTTTTAAAACTATTAATGCTCATTATAGTAATAGTCTGAATATGGTATTTCCTCTATTATTTAAGCACCTAAAGGGCTAATTCTTTTTCAGTGCTTTTGGACTGGAAGCCTATTAGAGGCTACATGTAGGAACTTAATATATTTTCCTGCTCTTTGTAAATTCATAATTAATTTTCTTCATAATCTCGACAGGTGAAGTGACCAAGGGAAAAGGACCACAACTGCCCTTAGAGGTAGGGGCTTATTATAGGCAGGGGACTCATTTAATTTTTGGCACCTCAGACTGGGGGCTAATTAGAAAAGGGAGGCTTATTAAAGGCTGTGGACTTAATAGAGGAAATACTTTTAAGCAGTTAACTGACACAATTCCTCTGGTGTTAATTCTCCTCGCATAACTATTGATTTATTTACTGTTTTGAAATAGGATAAGCAGTTAATAAGCTATAGACCAACTGAAGATATAACAATTAAGACTAAGTTAATGGCTTTTTAATGAATTCTAATGAAATAACAAAAATATAAGACCTGGTATATACATATTTTATATCAATCATTGAAAGTTGGGCAGGGGACTTTACATGTTTCTGAACAACAGATTATTGCAACTAAGCCATAGCTTATATTTTCGCTAATATACTTGGGAGCTAACTCCTCATGTGCACTGTCTGTCCTTGCACAACTTTGGAGTGCTTTTTAATTTATTCAATTTGTTGTGATTATTTTATTGGAATAGAAATTCAGTTTACAACTGCTTGAAGATAAGAACAGGGCTTTTTCAATTCCAATATAATTAACATTTACAGATCCAAAACACATTCCTTTGAATCTTATCTTCTCTTCTCTTAGCAACTTTATTGAGAATATGATAACCACTTTGATATATCTTTGCAATTGTTTTCACTTGTTCATCGTGAGGCAGTGTCTTCTATTACAGACCATGTGCCATCCCCAAGAGTATCATTTCTTTGTTTAACGCTTGTGCATAAGAAGACAAATAAGTATATTGATACCAGAATCACGGGGAGAGTTTTATTCTCTAGGGATTGTCACATGGCCTCTAATAAGAAAACATTACACCACAACAAAAACGTTGATTTATGCAAATTATATCTTAATTATGATCTTATTTATTACTAGTTAATGTCAACCTTTTTTATCTCCTTATTTATTTGTATTTATTTAAATCAATAAGTCAATAAAAAGATTATGGGGGGAGGGGGTTGCAAAAAAAAAACAACAACAACAACAACAACAAAACAAAAGAAAAAGCAGAGCCATTCTTTTTAAAGCAGGTTTGGGATTTCTCAATATTTCAATTTTTTGTGTGAGAGGACATCAAAGAGGAATAAAATATTTATGGGCAGTTTTGCAAATGGAAAGGAGCTTGAGAAAATTTAAAAAATTACAGCACCAATGTCCCACCCATCGCTCCCCTCCCATAGATAATTAAGTGTCCTACACTGATTTAATAACTGGTTTTTATCTATCAGATTAAATTAATATTTTTATTGGCCATGTTTCACAAGAATACAATGATAGACTATAATCTTGTGAAATAAATTGCTATAACAGATAAATCTGTAGCTATTTTAGATGATTTCATTTTTAGTTACATAATTACAATAATTCTATTTACAATGTTTTCTTCGTACTAAAAATAATTCATGGTACGTACATACTCTCTATACGCATAGTTTCAAAGTGAAGATCAACGAAGAGTATTCACTTTTATTAATTTTAGGGATTTAAGAACGCTGTTATAGTTTATTCCCTATTTGTCTTGATGACTCCAAGTCTAATGTTTCAAATTCTAATAAATAATTTTTGTCCAAATGGGGTGTTAATAAGACACCCATTTAGGGAAGGTGCTTTTTTTATGGGGGGGGGGGGGTCTCTTCAGAAGGGAGGGTCATCAGTACAATAATTAACTTGTGTGGAGGTCAAACCTCTTTTTTTTGACAAAATCTAGTTCTTTGTAAACTTTTTAGGATGGTCATGAATTTCTTACTGAGTGAAAAGGGGGAGGGCTACAACCATTAAAAAAAATTTGCTGTGAATCACCTTCCCCCACCCTCCCCACCCTCCCTGAGGGTACTTTTAAATAGTTTAGGATGTGAATTCCTCTCTTGCCAGTAGTGATAGTTTAAGGTAATCCAATTAAGAATAATTTGTCTTAAGAACCATATATTAGATTGATTAAGCTAAGTACGATCATTAACAAAAGTACTCAAATAATTTACTTTTCGGTTTTGGATTAATCTAACTAAACGGTCTTTTTTCCCCCCGGAAAGTAAAGAGAAGGTAAGAATATAAAAGAACAAATCCCTGGTCACGTTTTGTTCTGATGAGAAGTTAGGAGGAGCGTCTAATAGCTGATTGTTATTTCGATAAAATTTCGTCTTTACTTACTAGGCTCGATTACTTGTAGTTAGGGTTTATTTTTTTAAACTAGATGTGGTGGTCGTAATTTACAGGTGTTTTTTTAACGATTGTAGTCGTTACAAAGAAAGGTTTCGCAATGTTGGTTGCATTTCCATGTAGGTCGTTTTAATATAAATAATAAAATTATATTTCTACTTTATACCTTCTTTCGATATGAAGCAATGGTTAGTAAAAGTTGGTCGCATTTACGAGGTGGTCGTGTAGTTATAATAAGATAATTTATATCGTAAAAATTTTGAGTGGTCGTTTTACTAAGAGTTGGTCGTATTTCAAGTGGTCATTTTGGTATAGCAATAGGTTTTTCCGGCGTATGCCTTTAAGATATAGTAATTGTTTTACTGAAAGTTGGTCGTATTTGAAGGCTGTAATTTTGGTATAATTAACTTAAGGTTTTTCCGTGTATTCCTTTAAAATGTAGTGGTCGTTATTCAAACGTTGGTCGTATTTCATTTTGTACTCAAAAGTTGGTTGTCTGTCAAGGGAGTCATTTTGATATAATTAACTTAAGGTTTTTCAGTGTACTCTTTCAACATGTAGTAGTCGTTACTCAAAAGTTGGTCGTATTTCAAGGGGGTCATTCTGGTTTTTCGGTGTATTCCTCTAAAATGAAGTGGTCGTTACTTAACGCTAGGTGTTTCGGCGGCGTATTGCCTTCAAGATCAAGGCATCGTTACAAAAAGTCTGTTGTATTTCAAGGCGGTCATTTTGATATAACTCAAGGTTTTTCGGCGTATTGCCTTCAAGATCAAGGGGTCGTTACTAAAAGTCTGTCTTATGTACAAGGTTGGATATAACCTCCCTGATATAATTGACTATCTATTTTTTACACTGGTTTATAACAGAGTGGTGCTTGAAGTAGTAGCAGGCTGGTCGACATGGCAGTTTGCTTTGGTAGGACATTTTCTTGAAGGCGAGTTCTTTGTATTCTTCATCTGTTCCTCACGTTCATTCCCCTCTTGTAGTATAGGGATCGGCAAGGCCAGCATGATAATACCCATTAGACAACAGATAGACCCGACAAACTTTCCAGGTATAGTCTTTGGTATACAATCACCATAACTAGAGGTATCAAATATGATTAAAAAGGATTAATAAGGTTGAGTAGGGTTAAATAAGGCTTTGGACTTGCGCGTTTCTCCCACTACACCGCTGTTATGGGTTTCCTTATACTCTTCTCGAGGGAAGCTGAGGCAAATTCTGAGCCCCGTGCTTCCACGGATCCTCCTGCGGACACGTGTTGTATTCCGTGTCAAGAAATCCATACGCTCTGGGTTATGCGAAAACTACTCAACTGAGTCACGTGAAAGGTCTACTCAGTTTCCACTGCGCATGATCATGACATCATAACAAAACTACTTACCCAACAGTCATCATGGTAACAATTGTGTACCACATGGAGTCAGGAATACTCGTGAACTGCTTGGAAGATTTCCCCCGTTCTATGAAGTAGAGTATGCTTGCGAATAAGATATTGGCCAATAAGAATGCAAAGAATAGGAAACCCAAGTCCACGAAAGCTCTTTTCAAGGCGTGTCCCATCTTTCTCATCTTCTTTGAGTGACGAGAAAGTTTCAGTATTCTGAACATTCTTAGAATCCTGAGAACGACGAGTGCATTTGTATTTTCTAGTAAGGCTGGTTCTTTTTCAGCTATAAATTGCACAGACAGATGAATATAAAAAGGGAGGATTGCCAGTAGGTCTAGGATGTTCATTTTTTCCACAACAAATTTGAATCGTTTTTCAGCGGCGTAAAATCTTAGGATATATTCCAATGTAAAGATCGACATACAGATCGCTTCTCCAATGAAAAACTCCTTTTGATAAACTTCCGCACATGTTTTCCCTCTTTTACACTCAATTGTTTCGACAATTGTCGATATTACACTCAAATATATCAAAGTCGTTATGAAACTTTGAACAAATCGCGAAAGTCTTGTCTCGGTCGTTTCAAAAACAGTCCTTATGAATCTGCGAATTCGTGTATTGATGCCAGCGGTTCTCGGTGAGATTGCGTCATTACATGGACAAGCATAGGGTTGGTTGAATGCATTGACACATTCTTCGTCATAGCAACAGTCGTTGATTTCATCAAGCGATATGCCAAAGTACTGAAGCTCCTCTTGAAATGCATCAAAGCAATCCTCAAGCGATAGGTGTAGCTTTCCAACCTTGTAATAATTCAAGATGTAACGAAACATATGAGGATCTCTATCCAGGAAGTATTCTTTCTTCTCCTGGTCGAAGAACAGTTTGAGAGCCTCGCTTCCTAACAAGGTGTTTGGGTATTTCTTTAAGGTACTTTCCCATGTGCTAAATTTTCGACCACTCACGTTTAGAGTTACGATTTTATCATCTTTTCGCATATATCTTCGACCTCGCCTTGATTGTAGTGTCATGCATTCACTGTTGGGATTCCTGTGATGCAGTCTCGAAGAGCATTAAGCACTGTTCACGACAACGACCTTGTACCGCTGTATTTTCTTGATTAGCACTTTTATCTAAGAAAAATCATAAATAAATTAAGACCTTTAAAAAAATTGCGGTTACACTTACTAATTGACTGAAAGATGAAATTAGCCATCACTCGACTACCCGAATCACCTCTAATTGATTTCCTACTTTGTACTTTTGTGGCTAGGTTTCATTCAATCTTGTTCGATTGTTCGCTCGTTTATTGGCCTGTTCGTTCGTACGTTTCTTGCCTAACTTGACAATCGTAACACCTCTGTTCTACCTTTTTTTAGCCTGTTCAAAGGAAGATGACCCAAATTATACCAATGCAAAAGACGTCTGACTCCCAAAATTGTTGAACACCGACTCGCTTTCTCACACGATTGCGTAAAATGTTATAATCAGCGTTTTGGTATGTCAATGATTATTGACCTTTTGAATTCGAGTGTATGTTAACATGAAAATACAAAAATCATACTTTATTTACATAAGAACCTCCTATCAGTATTAACATTTTATTATTAATTTGTTGCATTTCTTTTGTATTCCATGCGTCCATTCAAGATAATTTCATTGTAGGTCGACTGTCGGTCGTTTTATTTTCGTGGTTAGAAATGTTATATTATTTGAAATGTTATACAATTACACCACAGGTCATTAATTAGTTTTTAAAAAATATTATTCTAAATTATTAAAAAAAATTATTGATTAGTCTCTTCATAACAAATGTTTGTAATGTTCATTATGGAAAGACTAATTAATATCCTATCGTGTACTTGTGGTTTTTAAAAAGTTAAACCATGAATACTTAAAATTATTTAATGTGGAAATATTTGGGCAACCTAAATTTAAGGCAACAGAAAGAGATGAAAGGTAATAGAATTGAAAATAGAAATAAATACTCGAGCGAAAATAAGTAGAAATAGGAGCGAAAACTGGAAAGGAAAGAAATGCAAATGAGAAATGTAAACTGAAATAAAATAGAAGGAAAAAATGAATAAAATGGGCAAAAGAAGAATGAAAATAGATTTTAAAAAAGTATATAAAGAAAAGTAAACGAAAAGGGAAGCCATAAAATAAGTAAAGAAGAATAAAAAGTGTAAATTTTGAAAAGAAATTGTACTGAAAAATGAGTCGGGGGTTAGATTGAAAAGAAAAGGTTTAAAAATATAAATACCAGTTATTTCTGAATTACATAAAATTTAAAGCCTTTCAAAGGTAATATATGATGAATCTATTGGTTTACAAACTATGACGTTAACCGTAGAAAGACATTCTTTATTCTCCACGATATATGTAAAAATGTAATAATTATCGCTATTATTGTGGTTTGAAAGCCTATACCATATGGATGAGATGCTCTTTAAGATCCCTGGTGCGTTAGCAAACAAAGAATCAACTTAAACACCTTTTGAATGGTCTGAAATCTGACAGGGCATCACTTAAACTCCACTTTATCGCAATGAATGATTTCATTAGTGCACTTTGCTCACGAAATCTTTTCCAAGTAGAAAAATACTTGAAAAAAATTAGGCAGGGTAAATGCAAAATTTTATATGTTTTTGTTTGTTTCTTTGAATTGATCTATTATAAAATTAAAATAAGAAACAGGGTCATCGTCTTTATTTTACCGCAGCTACAAAGCATAGCCTAATTGTTTAACATTCGAGTATTTGATTGGTTAACGTTTAGTGAAACATCAAGCATATTTACTGATTGCATGAAAATTTAGGTTAGGGAACGCCTATTTCAATCGTTCCATTTACACTTGGGGGGTAAAAAAATGAAAAGAAAAATCTGCATGCGAAGCATAACGCATTCGAGCGAAAGGATTCAAAGGATAGATGAAAAATTATATTACATTTTGTTAAAAACTTTAATGCCTGAATCCAACTGTTTCCATCGGTTTTTCATGTGATCTTGGCAGTATTTTGCTTTGAGGCATTGCGAAAATCTTATAAAGACACACTTTCATTTTACAGCAAATAAATAATGACTATGTATAGCATCACATATCTGGTATTTATGAATTCGTAGAATTCTTACTTATACCTTTATTTTAACTTGCAATCGAATATAAAGCATTTAAGCTGTCTGTTGTCACAAATGACCCACGAATTTGATCGAAATATAATTGTATCAAAATTGCATATTGTTGATTTTTCGGAATAGAAATTCAAGTCTTTTCGCTTGAAATTAAACCTGGATTTTGCCTTACAGTACCTTTGACCTTGAAGGAATTGTGTCGTATCGAGTAGATCGTCCAAAGGTCTTTTAACTTGTTCTCGTCAATCTTGTCCCTCTGCCGGAGGTAAAATTAAAGTGCGCTGCACCTGTAATAAGCCCAGAAAAGGAACATCACTTTTTGATTCCAATCATGCTGTGAAATGCCGGAAGTCGAGAAGACAAGTGGAATATTTAGAGGAAAAGTAAAGTGATAACAAATATCGAAGAAATGGAATATTCCTGCTCCTGGAAATAATGAATTTGGGTTGATTTTATTGTAATGCGTTTCACCTTTCGTCCGTTTTTTTAGGCAAAATATCAGAAAGTACTAAATGACTATTGCTTGCTTATCTTGCGATATGCCTTCAAGAAACTTTAGATTTTAGTGTGTCTTTATTAAACATGCATTAGATAATTGGTGATAAAAAAATCAGATTTGATCACTGTATCTCCAAATTAAATAATGATGTACTACCTTTTGATTTCTTCATTTTCTGTTGTTTTTTTATTTTTTTCTGTTCGCCTTTTTGATTTAATGGGAATTTTACATGTAGATGTACAGTCAATACAAATTATTCATTACTATTCGTGGCAATTGATTTATTAGTTATTATAGATAAATACGAAATGTTGTAACTATTGGATTTCATTAAAACTATGGACTAAATTTATTTTAAGCAAAGACCTTCGGTTTTGCATGTAGATTTACGATCAATACAAATTATTTCTTACTATTCGTCTCAATTAATTTATTAATCATTATTAATGAATACGAAAAATTATAACACTAGTGAATTGAATTAAAATTGTCGACTAAATTTATTTGAAGGAATAACTCAGTAACAAACTTGTAACAACAAGTGCAGGGGGTTAATTTAGAGGGGGTGGTCAGTCCCCCGACCCCCAACCCCCCCTAACCATTTAACTTCATTTCTTCTACTTTAAATTTGATGTCAAACACAGGGAGCCTTATTCAAAACTTCTAAATTCCATGCTCAGGGACTCGATTTTCCAATTTCTCGCGAATCCTCCTCTGAGGAATATCAAGGTGTGAAGAACAAAAGATGTGGTTGTATCGCGCTATACCACAATCAACACGTCTGCTATCAAAGAATAGTTCTATAAATGGAAAAACCCGACGTACCTATTCATATCAATGATTGCTTTTGAATCCCATTTGAAATTTTAAAGAAATGTTTTCGCTTATTTTACCGAGTTTTTCCTTCAAATAAACTTAGTCGATATAATCGCTTTATTTTATAATTAATTGTGACCAAAATTAATGAAAGAAATTGACTTTTGTATTTATTTATTTGGACGAATTTGTCTGCATACTATATTTTTTTAACCTTTCGTGGTTTAGTATTGTTCTTTGTTTAAATCTTCCATGTGCTTAATAATTCTTTCTTCAAAAATCAAATAAACTATAGTACCTGGTAATTTATTGTGAAAGAATTATTCTGTAGAATCGTAGAACGATAATAGCTAGATGTGTTTACTTTCAATTGTGACTAACCATCTTTATTCATGAGTGGATTATTGTTAAGGACGAAACTTTTCCGTCCGTCCCCCCCCCCCCCCCCCCCAAAAGAAAAAGAAAAAACCTCAAAAGCATCGCGGCCACTACGTATTATCATTACCTCATTAATATTTACATATTAAGAATGACTGTTATTCTTCCTATCATTCAATTAGACTCGCAGCATGAACGAATTATGGGTACATAGCCTAAAGATCAATACATCCCGTTGTCGATAAATATATAATATARTAATAGAATAGCCTCAGCCAAACCCGAGGCATGTCGCATTTTTGAATATGTAATTTCCTTCTCTTATGGGCCTCACTAATCAGTGTTCCTATAACAGTATAGCCAATCAGGATACAGGATTCATAAAAGTCCACAAGTTCGTTTATCAATTGCTAATGTCATTAACTTTCATTTTTCGTAAAGTGTTCGTTGGATATTATCACAATTAGGGCAGCTTATAATCACTGTTAGCGCCATGTTAAATGAGATCTCGTACTGGTATTTATGATCACGAGAACTAAAAAAAAAACACTAAAGACCATTGTTCGATCAATATGGTTGCCGTACGACCATGGCAGAATAATATATAAGTGAGATCTCGAGTCCTATCTTCGAATGTAGACAAACGTCGTCTCAAGTATCTCGAACAGCCAAAATGTGATAAGAGAAAGTATACCATATGATAACTAAAACGTCGATGTTCTATTTCGGACTCAGTGTCATGCGTGGAGAGTGTTTTTTTTGGTTCTATTTTCAGTATGCCTCAAAGGTTTTTCTTTGCTTTCTGCAGTTTCTCTACCTCAAAAAAAAAAAAAAAAAAAAAAAAAATCAACTTCTAAATTGCATTTGGAATCCAGCGAAAGAAGAGCCACCCTTAGGAACCACTGCTCATTCCCTTTTATTTTTCCATTTTCCTATTTATTTCATGTTTTAATTATTGGCCGGAAAATATAATTTAATTACGAGTGTTAACCACAAGCCACCAAATGTTTGAAGACAAAGGCTATTATATCTTAACTGAAATGAGCTAGCCTTCCCACTCTAACTTTATATAGAGATAGTCTTTTTTAATTGAAATTAAATTTTAATTTTTTTTTTCATCGTTGCTATTCTGTACACTTTTGAAATGTTCATCGCGTCGAAAATTCTCACAACGGAGCAGTAATTTCTTCCTAAAGTTTACTTTTTGTCTAATTCGTGTTTACCTTAACTGAATCGGTTCTTAATGAAATTTTCGATTCATTAGTATTGTTGCTCAATTGCTGAATTTAACTCGGCCGTTCTTCTTTGAAGCGGCAGAAAGACCACGCGTAATGATTTGTTTCAGATCTAGTATCCAAGCGATCAATGTAGTTTTCTGGTATTTTTGTCGAACGACAAAAAAATGATCACATTTAAAGTAGGATGAAAATTTCACTTAAGCCATAGTTAGGCACGAAAAAACCTGCAGTAAATGGGTTTTAAAAGTAAATTTTCAGATAATCATATAAAATTGCATGGAACTTCTGAGAAAATGGCACATGTCATGTGATCTCTGAAAACGCACTTATTTTTTGTCCAGAAAAAATATATTTGAAGTTAGACTTTGAGGAGCTCTAGCTAACTATAGTTTAGCTTAGTGTTCATATGGCCACGTAAACATAATACAGTCGTACGAATATTGAAAAAGAATTAAAAAATATAAGAGTTTTTAATTTTCATCTCGGCAAATTCGTTTCTACGTTTGCTACAAAGGATCTCATATCAATATCTATAATCGGCTTGACAACAAACATTAAAAAAATGAACGAAATATGAAAAATAAAAATAAACACATCTCACTGAGTAGGTTTATCCAATTTAAATGAAAATGTTACTGAGAAGTACCATAGATAGAAACACCATTTAGCGAATTTCAATGTAAAAACTTACCTCTTTTCAACAGTCGTAGTTATAGGATTTTGAGTAAAATTTTGCCTATTTGGAAAATGCGCCGGCTTAATAAAAATTCTAAGACTGTAGAGGCACTACTACGCCAACTGATGTCATATGATATCCGGTGTTTTGAAATTAGTAGCGAAAAGACGAGACCAATAGTCACTAATATAAATAATTCATACCAAGCTTGGCAGTTGTTTTTCGAGACTCATGAAGTTGTGGCGTAGGATAACGATCATGCGACGAAGAGTGACGGAAAACATGACGTAATAGGTACTTTATTTCTGCACTGAGTCTGTTTTCGTATGATTAGGAATAAAATCAGTAAGGAAAAAAATTTCGAAAATAGTAGCGAATGGACGAAGCCTTGAATAACGAATAGCGAGAGGGGAAAACAAACAAAAAAAAAAAAAAAAAAAAGAAACGAAGTGAAGTCTTCTGCTAATTTATATCGTATCATTAATAATTTAATGGACATGCTATCCATGATTCGCTACTTAGGCGTGCAAATCAACCTGTTTCATGGTAATGGCTTCTCAGCGAAAGCTAGTGTAATATCGTTCTAACAGTGCCCGACTTCATATTATTTCAGTCAGTTCTTCTTGTTACTCAGTTCTTGACTGAACTTTCACAATATGAAATTATTATTTTCAAAACTTCTATTTCACTCTTAGCTAAAATTTCCTAAACTTAACGAGATATATACCAGCATGCATCATGGTAAAATTGTTTCTTGCCTTAAAGTAGCCCTTAAAAAAGTATGTACATTACTTAAATTTTCAAAGTTTCAACAAAGAAAATAACAGCGCATTTTAGTGCTTAACGTCTTTAGACTTTCCTTTTACGTAAAGCAATACAGAGAATCCCCTTAGCGGTAGAGTTATTTTTGGTGTGAAGTGTCCAAATTGAGTGACTCCTAATCTTCAATTATAAACTAGTGACAGTTGTAACTTCATTTATCTGCGCGTCAGTTCCTTTGGCGCACGTAACCCACTAGAGCTTAAGTACTTTCCTGTCTTTACGCCTCAAATATATTTATACCTTATAATTTTATAATTTCAGTTACTGTATATTGATGGAGTTCAGCTTTATCGAGATCAATGACGTGTGGTCCCTTTTCTCCTTAATGACTTGTCAGGTTTAGGCTTTTCAAGAATTTTTAATCTGATGTTTATTTGAAGTCTCTCTGAATAATTATTGGAACAACGTATGTCTAGACATCTCCCGTTACAAACTCTCAAATGAACATCAATATCTTTACATATGCGTGTTTGAGTATCGATCGGAATGATATTGATAATGTATGTGTTTTTGCCTACAAATTGTTTCTTTTTTTATTTTTATTTTTATTCATGTTGGTGAAATAATGTTGCCTTTAATTTCGAACTGAAATGTCAAGTGCTGCTTCGATCCCGCATCCATTCAAATTTTACATATGTATTTTTTCCACTCTTGTTTGTCTTTTTCAGCAAGCTGTTTTTGTATTGTTTATTTTGCGAATTGATAATTTGAAATCCTGAATTTCATTAGGCATTGTTTACTCCAATAAATCGATTTCAATACTACAAAAATTATATTATGAATAATATTAAAAAAAAAAAATTTAAGCCAATTCTAATTTTGCTAAAAAGTACTGGATATTTTAGAGCGATTTCACCG